CCCCCCCCAATAGCTGGCAATCCAAAACAGTCCAGTGGCAGCTTTAAGGCCAAGTTTTATTCAGGTACAAGCTCTCCCTCCTTTGCGAGGACAGACCTACACATCCCCCCCCCCCAATAGCTGGCAATCCAAAACAGTCCAGTGGAACCTGAGTGGTGGGTGTTGCCTTCTGACACACTTCCAGTGATGTCAGGGGGTGTGGCATATGCAAATAAGTTATGCTAATGAGTTATGCTAATGAGCTCCTGCACCTCTTTTCCTACAAAATGACCCCTGATCCCGGGTATTAAAGTGTTTCAGACCTTTGGCCTTTCCTCAGGAACAATTCCTATATAGGAATCTCACATTCAATGTCTCACATTCAAGTTGACACAATCATTGATTTATTTTTACTATGTTTATGTTAATCTACTTGGGCAAGGTCTCCTCAATGATTTCCAAGCATGCTGCTGCTGCTGCCAAAGTCAAATGTCAACTTGACACAGAGAGTACTCCATCTTTCTGTGGTATACCTCTGAGGATGCCAGTCACAGCTACTGGCGGAACGTCAGGTCCTACAATGCCAAGACCACGGCCACACAGCCCGGAAAATCTACAGCGACTAATGAACTTCGGCTGTGAAAGCCTTCGACAATATAATATTAGTCATCAAATGTTTCTTCCATGGGTTTGTCTCATTGTTTTAAAAGAGAATGGTGTCAACATCTTATGGGGATGGATTCCATAAGCTAATGGTGTGAAGAAGTGCTTCCATTTGTCTCGAGCAACTTAACTGAGTGGCCCCAATTTCAGTGCTCGTGTGAGAGACCCAAGGAATATCCCCTCGAGTTTGCTTCCTGTATGTAGCCCTGGTAATTTTTGCTCCTCTGGGCATAATGTTTGATGTAGTGGTTAGGAGCATGGTCTCTAGTCTGGGAGAACCGGATTTGATTCCCCGCTCCTCCACATGCAGCTTCTGGGTGACCTTGGGCCAGTCACAGTTCTCTGAGAGCTATTTTCTCAAGAGCAGTCCTTGAGAGAGCTCTCTCAGCCCCACCTACCTCACAGGGTGTCTGTTGTGGGGAGGGGAAGGGAAAGGAGATTGTAAGTCGCTCTGAGAATCTGAGTGAAGGGCAGGGGATAAATCCAATCTCCTCCTCCTGCTTTCTTCTTCTTCCATTAGCCACCTGTGTCCTTGACAAGTGAGTGTGGGATACAGTTATCATGGGGCTGTCATTTCCATACTAGATTACTACAATCTTCTCTGTATGGGACTGCCCTTGAAAGCGGTTTGGGCACTTCACTTAGTCCAGAATTCAGCAGCAAGAATGCTCACAGACATGGGACGGATGGTGGCTCAGCGGTAGAGCATCTTCTTGGCATGCAGAAGGTCCCCGGTTCCAATCCCTGGCAATTTCAGTTTGAAATATATCAGGTGGTAAGTGATGTGAAAGATCTCCATCTGCCTGAGACCCTGGAGAGCCGCTGCCAGTCTGAGTAGACAGGACTGACTTCGGTGCGCTGACGATCATAGATCACAAGTGCAAATAGAAACACAATGTAGATTCCATTGTAGATTCCAAAGAAAATCACTTAGAAGACCTGTAATGCCAAACCTCCCTTAGGCAAGGATCCATGCGCAAGAAATTCAAGAGGCTTCAGTCAGTTCACAAACTGTATTCCATATCCAGTGAAGTGCTTCATAAATTATAACTGTCTTGTTCTTTAGACACCAGAGGCACCTTTAAGACCAACAAAGTCTTATCCAAGGTATGAGCACACGAAAGCTCAAAACTTGAATAAAACTTTGTTGTTCTTAAAGTTGCCACTGGACTCTAAATCCGTTCAATTGCTTCAGACGAACACGGCTGACCCTTCTGTATCTGTCTTGTTCTTGAATAGATATGTCTTTGAATACTTCTTAAAGATTTAAAGTGCATAGGTAAAGGGTAAAGGTTCCCTTGCTCGAAAGCCAGTCGAATCCGACTTTAGGGTTGCGGTGCTCATCTCCGTTTTAAAGCCGAAGAGCCAGCGCTGTCCAAAGACGTTTCCGTGGTCATGTGGCTGGCATGACTAAACACCAAGGCGCACGGAACACTGTTACCTTCCCACCAAAGTGGTACCTATTTATCTACTTGCAATTTCTTGCTTTCGAACTGCTAGGTTGGCAAGAGTTAAAGTGCATAGATGTCTTCAAATGCTTCTTTAGAGATTCAAAGTGCTCTATGCTTTGTGCCTGATATGTCCATAGACATCCAAATGATAGAAAAGCAGTAATACATCTAATGGAATTTGCCAGCATATACACTTTCCGTTTCACAAAGGCTTCCTCGTAGATGGGAAATTACATCTCACTACAAAATAAAAATACATATTTATGATAATACATGATGTATTAAAAGGATACATAACATAGTGAAAATAAAGCATTCTCATCACACACATCTTTTTTAGAAAACATTTTGTTCATACAAACAGCAGCTCGACTAATTCACAAGAAGGAAGCACTCATGCAAAATAAGCAGCAGGTCTCTATACATCCTCAGCTACAGTGACCTTGTTCATACAAATTCACAAGCAGCCTAATTGCTTGCACCATCCTAATGACTCGCACCTGCTACGTATCATAGTGCTCATAAAACAAACTATACAGACATGCCAAAGTAATTACCAACTGCCTATTTATTACAAAAAAACCACGTGAAAAATCCATGTTAGAGTTGAGTCCAGACGGAGTCATCGTATTAAGAGCGCACATGCAGAAGGTGAAGCAGGCCAAGCGATTTGCAGCAGGCATAGAAATCTGCAGCAGGCATCTACTTGCTGATCTCTTTGTGTTTTCTTCCTAGAACGCTGCGATGACTGGGGAGTTGACACCATGAAGCACAAGCCGGTCTATAACGGGGAGCCAGCCAAAATCAGATGCCCGCTCTTTGAGGCCTTCTTGAAGTATAACTACAGCACCGCCCACTCGTCTGGCTTGACCCTGATCTGGTACTGGATTGGGCAAGGCCGAGACCTGGAAGAGCCCATCAACTTCCGTCTCCCAGACAACCGCATCACCAAGGAGAAGGACACGCTCTGGTTCCGGCCTGCACTTCTCAACGACACGGGCAACTACACATGCATGCTCAGGTAGCCCGTTCTGTCCTTTGTTGTTGTTGTTGTTGGGGTTCAGAACTTTTTTACGCCGTCCGCTTAAGGCAGCTGACCGAATGAAACATAAGAAGAACATAGAACACCGCAAAAGTTGAAGCCGGTGGTGACCTAAACCGTTACAAACCCAGCCAGACCAGAGAGCAGCATAAAATGCTGAGCTATGTAAAAGAAGTCTCATAAAACCAGGGGTCATTTCCTGCGGGAGCGCACAGGAGCGGAGCTCCGGCAGTAAAGAGCCCAGGGGGCGGGCACATGCAACAAGCCCCACCCCCTGCTCCCAGCAGCCCTCAGTCAGAGCAAGAAGCAGCCAGGTAAGTTGCAGAGTTCCCCCCCCCCCCACCCCCCGGCCCAAAACAGTCCAGTGGCACCTTTAAGACCAGGTTTTATTCAAGCACGAGCTCTCCCTCCACTGCGAGGACAGATCTGCACGTTCCTCCCCCCCACCCAATAGCTAGCAATCCGAAACAGTCCAGTGGAGCCTGAGTGGTGGGTGTTGCCTTCTGACACACTTCCGGTGACGTCAGGGGGTGTGGCAGATGCAAATAAGTTATGCTAATGAGTTATGCTAATGAGCTCCTGCACCTCTTTTTCTACGAAATGACCCCTGCATAAAACAATATGTTGTCAAAGGCTTTCACAGCCGGAATTCATTCGCTGTTGTAGATTTTCTGGGTGGTATGGCTGTGGTCTTGACATTGTAGGACCTGACGTTTCGCCAGCAGGTGTGACTGGCATCCTCAGAGGTATAACACAGAAAGATGGAGTACTTTCTGTGTCAAGGTGAGAAGGAAAATGGTAGGCAGGTAATTTATATCTACTCAGGAAGGTGGGGTAGGGCTGAGTCATTGTCTTGTAGGAGTTCCCCGGGCTGTGAACATGCCAATGGAGGAGCTTTCCTGAGGAGGTTCTTTTGTAGCATGTTCACAGCCTGGGGAACTCCTACAAGATAATGACTCAGGAACAACTCAGGAAACAACTCCTACAAGATAATGACTCGGGAAACAATCCCTATACAAATGAGGTCGCACCAGTCTGGGGCAAGGGATGCTCTGTGTTCCTGGTGCTTGGAGGGGGCAACAGTGGGAGGGCTTCTAGTGTTCTGGCCCCACTGCTGGACCTCCTGAGGGCACCTGGTATTTCTGGCCACTGTGTGACAGGAGAGTGTTGGACTGGAGGGGCCATTGGCCTGATCCAACACTGGCTTCTCTTATGCTCTTATAAGAGGGAAGTAGATAAGCATATGGAGCAGAGGTCCATCAGTGGCTATTAGCCACAAGGTATAGATAGGGACTGGGGCAAGGGATGCTCTGTCTTCTTGGTGCTGGGGGTGTGTGTCAACAGTGGGAGGGCTTCTAATGTCCTGGCCCCACTGCTGGACCTCCTGATAACCCCTGGTGTTTTTGGCCACTGTGTTGGACTGGATGGGCCATTGGCCCAATCCAACATTGGCTTATCTTCTTATGCGATTCCCTGTCTCTGCAACTGTGGGCTACGCCTCCTACCCCTTCCCGTGTTCTCGTCCTCCTCTTAGGGCCAGGCTAGACATTCATTTGGAATCCTGCATTTGGAGCTTCTGCCAGTTTTTTTTTTTTAAACTCAGTTCTGGGGTACGAGGGTTGAGTTTAAAGACTCAAGGGGAGGTGTAGACACAGAATTCGCAGTGCCTGTGTTGGTTTCGGTCAAAACCTTATGTGGCTCTGAGTTCCACAGGGTTGGTGATGCATTGCTTGAAGAAGGTCTTCCTTTTCCTTGTCTCAAACCTGTCGCCTCTTGATTTCTGTGAACAAACGTCAAATTTACGCATCTTCAGAGTGAACATACGAACATAAGAGATGCCAATGTTGGATCAGGCCAAAGGCCCATCCAGTCCAACACTCTGTGTCACACAGTGGCCAGAAATACCAGTGCCATCAGGAGGTCCAGCAGTGGGGCCAGGACACTAGGAGCCCTCCCACTGTTGAACCCCCCCCCCCCCAAGCACCAAGAAGACAGAGCATCCCTTGCCCCAGAGTCCCTATCTATACCTTGTGGCTAATAGCCACTGATGGACCACTGATGAGTGAATAGTTTTTCCTGCCTTTCTTCAGTGTGCTCTCCTTCCTCCTTTCCGCCCTCTCCCAGAAATGCTACCTACTGCAGTAAAGTCGCTTTCCCCCTGGAGGTGGTCAGCAAAGACCCCGGTTCTTGCGTCAGCCGAGCCGTCGAGCCGGACAACGTGATGTTATACTTGGAACACATCCATGTCAACCTCACCTGCCCGGATGTGGACAGTTATTTTCCTGCTGGGGTGAAACCGAAGGTCCAGTGGTTTAAGGTAAGAGGACTGTGTTGGCTTGAGGGCCAGTTTTGGGAAGAGAGAGAGAGAGAGAGAGATGGGACTGCCTTTCTCTGAGCTAGACTACAAGGGCTGATGAAATGATGGGCTGTGGCACTGGCAGGTAGACTGTACGTGTGGCAGGATACAGGAGTCAGCTTGCTTCTCACATGCATGAAGCTGCTTTATACTGTGGCTGCAAAGAAAGCTAATGCAATCTTAGGATGCATCAACATAAGCATTGTGTCCAGATCACGGGTGGTAGTTCCACTATTCTGCTATGGTCAGGCCTCACCTGGAGTCCTGTGTCCAGTTTTGGGCACCACATTTTAGGAAGGATGTTGACAAGCTCGAGCATGTCCAGAAGAGGGCAGCCAGGATGGTGAGAGGGTTGGAATCCAGGTCCCAAGCCATGTAGGGCTTTAAAAGTCAAAACCAACGCCTTGAATTGGGCTCAGGAGCGGATCGGTAGCCCTTGGGTATTTCGAATCAAGCAAGGTCCCGTTGTGCTGGAGAAATGCACCACCGTTAGCAGAACAGACCCACCTGATCCCAGCCTGGACCTCCTCTGCTCATCCCGGCATCTCGGATGAGCCAGTTTGGTGTCGTGGTTTAAGTGCGCGAACTCTAATCTGGGAGAACCGGGTTTGATTCCCCACTCCTCCACTTGCACCTGCTGGATGACCTTGGGCAAGCCATATTTCTGACGAGCTGTTCTTTAAAAAGAGCCGTTTCTGTCAGAGCTCTCTCAGCCCCACCTACCCCACAGGGTGTCTGTTGTGGGGAGGGGAAGGGAAAGGAGTTTGTAAGCCGCTCTGAGACTCCTTCGGATAGTGAAGGGCGGGGTACAAATCCAATCTCTTCTCTTCTCTTCTTCTACCGTATGGGGCATCTCAAAGTTCAAGAGAGGGAAAAAGATTAGTTGGCTAAGCTGTAAAGCCTTTGTGTTTCAGTATCGAGGACTCTACGTTTAGTCATCTGAAAAGCGCCTGTAAATGGGAGCATAGACAGTGAGTCCAGTGGGATACCCATGGTAGTTATTTTATTCATTCTCAATGTATGAGAGCCATTTAGACATATTTGACTCTGTGAGCATGTGTTGTGTGAGGCTCCCTTGGTCTACAGTGTAATCTCTTTAGTAAACGCTTTAAGCCAGCTTTGGGGCAGGACAGTAGTACCGTGTCGTCTGCATATAATAGTAGAGGGACATAGACAGAACCCAATTTAGGAGCCTGGGCAACAGCTTCAAGGTATGCGGAGAGATCATTAAGGAACAGGTTGAAAGGAAAGGGTGCTCATATACAACCTTTTTTTGACTCCTTTATTGAATGGGATTTTTGAAGTTAGTTTCCCTGACAGTGAACATTTAATTTGGCATTTTGTGGAAGTATATAGCTTTCTTATAAGGTTAAGGAGTCTCTTGTCTATATTTAGTTGTAGTAAAAAAAGGTAAAGGTTCCCTTGCTCAAAAGCCAGTCGAATCTGACTCTAGGGTTGCGGTGCTCATCTCTGTTTCAAAGCCAAAGAGCCAGCGCTGTCCGAAGACGTTTCCGTGGTCATGTGGCTGGCATGACTAAACGCCAAGGCACACGGAACGCTGTTACCTTCCCACCGAAGTGGTACCTATTTATCTACTTGCAATTTCTTGCTTTCGAGCTGCTCGGTTGGCAGGAGCTGGAACTAGAGATGGGGAGCTCACTCCGTCATGCGGCAACTCGGGTCTCGAACTGCCGAACTGCTGAACCACCGACCTTCCACAGCCTGCAGTTCAGCGTCTTAACCACTTGAGCCACCGCAGCTCCTAGTTGTAGTAGTTTGGCCCAAAGGAGTTCCCTGTAAATTGAATCAAATGCCCCTTTAAGATCTATGAAGCTTGCATATAATTTTGCTTTGCTTCTTTTTACATCCTTGTCAATCAGATGCTCTAGTACAATGCAGTGGTCTAAAGTAGTTTTCCCTTTACAGAATTCCAGCTGTTCCGGGCCCAAGATTCTCTGTTGTTGTTGTTTTAAATTTATTTCAAAATATCAACATACAATGAAGTTTTGATACAGTTACAACAAAACAGTACCATATTAACAAACCACTTACTAACAGTAGCAGTATCAAACAAACAATTAACGCCAAAAATAAGAGTTATCTGCCTTCTCAGTACATTTATAATAAAAGCAACAGTGACCTCCTATTCTAGCCTTCTCGTCTAGCAGCTAATGAAACATATATAATGACAGGGCATTTGTCCAAGGATTGCACAGCCTATGCATCATAAACCCATTTTGTTTAGCTAGCAAAACCTTCCATTTGTTCATCGAGTTATGAGGATTTTTTGCTAAACTATGTTGGGCAGACCACTCTGAAATTTTATTGTCGATCAGGTACTCCCATAGTTTAGTATGCCATTGGTCCATAGAGGGAATATGAACCAAATAGGGCTAAGCTAAACCATATATATGAAAAAGTACAAATATTTATTAAGGTGTACACGTGTTAAAACTTTCCTGATTAAAAATTGCTTTGTCTAAGATCAGACTGTAAAAGCTTATCCACTATACATACAAATGATGGGTAAAAACTTTACACCTGAAGACCAAACGCGTTTCGGCCCCTAAGGGCCTTCCTCAGTGGTCACTATTATCTATATATTCTAGACACACATTCAAAGACCTGTTACAGAATTCTAGTACACATATAATCACACCAGATGTTGTTTCCTTGTCTACTTATAATTGGACTCCCGGTATTAGTGATGGGCCATTATTGTTGTTCAGTCGCACAGTCGAGTCCGACTCTTCGCGACCCCATGGACTAGATCTTGCCAGGCCCTCCTGTCTTCCGCCGTCCTCCGAAGTTGGCTCAACTTCATGTTCGTTGCATCTATGACACTGTCTAACCATCTCATCCTTTGCCGTCCCCGTCTTCTTTGACCTTCAATCTTTCCCAGCATCAGGGTCTTCTCCAGGGAGTGCTCCCTTCTCATTGGGTGGCCAAAGTATTTGAGCTTTAGTTTCATTATCTGGCCTTCCAGGGAACAGTCAGGGTTGATTTCTTTTAGGATTGACTGATTTGATCTTCTTGCATTCTCCAGCACCAAAGTTCAAAAGAATCTATTCTTCGGCACTCGGCCTTCCTTATAGTCCATAGGTATAGCCATATCACCACCACAACTTATTCTGGTAACAGCGATTTTGTAGGTCTGAATGTGCGTCCCTCCATCAAAGTGGGAATAACCTGTGTTTTCCGGTGATTCACGATAATGCACTTGGCTGCTGTTAGAAGTATCGAAATGAGTTCTCTTACCTCCTTTCTGACATGAGCCTTAGGCCAGAGACTTCTCTGTTCTGTCATCCATATGGTAAACTTAGATAGTAAATGTTTGGTATACAGTTTTCCCATTACGGAGAGCAGACTGATTGGTGTATAGCTGGAAAGATTTAAGCAATCACCTTTTTTGTAGATTGGGACCACGATTGCATTTAGCCACCCATCAGGGATAAAGCCAGATTTATCTACCATGGTAGAAAAAGAAGCAAGGGAAGCAGCCCACCAGTCAGGGTCCAGTTCTAGAATTTCAGGTAAAATTACGTCAGGGCCAGCTGCTTTCCCAAGATCGTTTTCAACACCAGCCTGATATATTTATTTCGATTTATATCCCGCCTTGCCTGATAAGCACTATCTACTGCCTAAGAACGCATCCAGCCCGCCCTAAAAGCTCTGCACTGCCTGCCTGTAGCATATCGGATGCGGTTCAAGGTGCTGGTTCTTACCTTTAAAGCCCTATGTGGCCAGGGACCTGCTTACCTAAGGGACCACCTATCCCCGCATGTACCCCAGTGAGCATTAAGATCGGGTCCCCAAAATCGCCTCGTTCTTCCGGGGTCTAAAGAAGCCAAGTTGGTTACAACAAGGGCCAGGGCCTTCTCGGTGGCGGCTCCGTACTGGTGGAATGAGCTCCCTGAGGACGTCAGGGCCCTGCGGGACCTTTTACAGTTCCGCAGGGCATGTAAAACGGAGCTCTTCCGCCAGGCTTTTGAGTAGGGTGCCACCTCGATTGTATGGCCCTGGCCCGATTACCAACCGTGCCAACAATTGTACCATCATTGGTTCCGACAGCACCAACAGCACCACCAACCGAGGCTTATAGCTGGGTTTGAGTTTGTGGACACCATTCAGTTGACTGTTGAGATCGGAATGATTCGCCACCTTTTAGTATAAGTTATGTTTATATAGTTTGATTTTATATTGATTGACAGTTTTAATGGAATTTTAATGTATATTTATATATGTTGTTAGCTGCCCTGAGCCTGCCGAATGGCAGGAAGGGAGGGATATAAATGTAAATATAAATACATAAATAAGATCTTATGGAATCTAGAGAGGCTGGAGCAGTGGGCTGAGACAAATAAAATGAATTTCAATAGAGATAAGTGCAAAGTCCTACACTTAGGTACAAAAAATCAAAGGCACAGATACAGAATGGGAGGGACTTGGCTTGACAGAACATAAGAACATAAGAACATAAGAGACGCCAATGTTGGATCAGGCAGCACATGTGAAAGGGATCTAGGTGTTCTGGTTGATCACAAGCTAAACATGAGCCTGCAGTGTGATGTGACTGCGAAGAAAGCTAATGCAATCTTAGGATGCATTAACAGAAGCATTGTGTCCAGATCACGGGAGGTGATAGTTCCGCTCTGTTCTGCTATGGTCAGGCCTCACCTGGAGTCCTGTGTCCAGTTTTGGGCACCACATTTTAGGAAGGGTATTGACAAGCTCGAGCGTGTCCAGAAGAGGCAACTAGGATGGTGAGAGGGTTGGAGTCCAAGTCTTACGAGGAAAGGCTGAAATAGTTGGGTATGTTAAGCCTGGGAAAGAGAAGGCTTAGAGGGGACATGATTGCAGTCTTCAAGTATTTGAAGGGCTGTCATGTAGATGATGGAGCGGATCTATTCTCTCTTGCTCCAGATTGCAAGACTAGATCGAATGGGTGGAAATTACAAGGGAGTCGATACCGGCTAAATATCAGGAGAAACTTCCTAACTGTCAGAGTGGTTGAGCAGTGGGACAGACTGCCTCGGGAGGTGGTGGAGGCTCCTTCGCTGGACGTTTCTAGGCGGAGGCTGGACGACCATCTTTTGGGTATGTTGTAGGGCCATTTTTCGGCTCTGCTCCTGCAGAGTGCAGGGGGATGGACTAGATGACCTGCAAGGTCCCTTCCAACTCTCATATTCTATGATTCTATGAGTGATAGTTCTATGGGGAAAAACTGAACAGTTACTCAAATCAAACCTATTTCTAAAGCATAGATCCTTTTTAATTGATGCAAAAGAACATTGATCAGTGATCACAGCCTATAATGCTTTAACCTCTCACACATCTACGTCACTGGGGAAAAAAACTAGAGAGTGGAAACAGGGGGAGTAGTAAACCTACAACTGTCTGGTTCGATAGAGAATGTAGATATTTAAAAACCCAATTACGTAATGTTTTTAGACAATACTGTGAGTCTGCGGACCCATATTTTTTGATAGAATACTTTAAACTTAAGAGCCAGCTACAACAAGTGGAAGACTGGAAGGCCTGGCAGGAGCTGGTTCATGGGGTCGCGAAGAGTCGGACTCGACTGTGCGACTGAACAACAACAACAACAACAGAGTATGAAGAGCTTTGACTCTCAAAAGCTTATACCTTGAAAATCTTTTTGGTCTCTAACATCCTCTGGGGCTCAAATCGAGCTCCTCTTCTGCAGAGCAACATGGCTATTCTCTGGGATGTGTCTAAACCGAACCTCCATGCTCAGAGGCAGTGTACCACTGAATATTAGTTGATGAGAAGTGAGAACAGTGTGTGGGTTGGAGACTTTTGTCTCTATACTCCTGTAATATATCCAGTCCAGACCGCGTGGCCAGCTTGGGCTCTACGCGGTCAGGCACAAACATTGAGCTTCGCTCAAAGAGACAAAGGACTATGCGGATCCTAGCCCGCTCCAATCAGGGGGCTAGGTTCCTGGCCGAGAGCCTATGGGACTCTCGGCCACTGTAAATAACCTATTGGGAAGTGGGGGGGGGTGTTTTGGGTGGCGGTTTCTCGGGGAATATAAGCCGGCTTGCGAGCCGGCCAAAGCCGTCTTGTTCCTGATAGAATAAAGTACGCTTTGCTGAAATCACTCTACGTCTGCGTACTTTTCAACTCCGCTGATAGATTTTCCTTGAACATCTGATTGGCCTCTCTGGGAAATGGCTGGGTGCTGGAACTAAGTGAACTTTAAGCCAGATCCACCTTTTGGTAGTCCATGCGGCCGGGAATGATTTGGCCTTTGATGCCTGGCGCAGAAGGGTCTGCCGATGAATTAGTTGCTAATCACCAGAACGAAGACGTTGCGTGTTTTTCCAGTTGTCATACCACAGGAGCCCAGAATTGGGAGCGGGCCATAACTCAGTGGAAGAGCCTCTGCTTGGCATGCAGAATGTCCGAGAGTTCAATCGCCGGCAACTTAAGTTAAAAAAAAAAAAGGACCAGGCAGGAGGTGATGGGAAAGACCTCTAACCGGAGACCTTGGAGAGCCGCTGCCAGTCTGAGTAGACAATACTGACTTTGATGGACACCAACCAGTTTGGTGCAGTGGTTAGGTGTGCGGACTCTAATCTGGGAGAACCGGGTTTGATTCCCCCCCACTCCACGTGCACCTGCTGATGTTACCTTGGGTCAGTCACAAGCTCTGGCACAGCTGTCCTTGAAAAAGAGCAGTTTCTGTCAAAATTCTCTCAGCCCCACCCACCTCACAGGGTGTCTGTTTGTGGGGAGGGGAAGGGAAAGGAGTTTGTAAGCCACTCTGAGACTCCAAGTGAAGGGCGGGGTATAAATCCAATCTCTTCTTCTTCTCTTCAGTAGAAGGCAGCTTCATTTTTTAATGTATTATTTTAGAAAACAAGATAATAGTAAAAGGGATGCAAAAGAAAAAAGGGGATTATATATCAAACTATGTATATGAAAAATTATTATACATTGCAGGCAACGCTCCCTCTAAGCTGTGGAGTCTTGTGAGCAAAAATTCTGTTTTGCGAGCTGCTGGCGTTGAAGTGGTGAGCGAGCAGTTTGGCTGCTGCATAGATTAGTTTGCTCTGGAGCCATCACTTCCTGAGCTGAGACAAAAGTGTGTGAGCCGGAGGCTAAAAAATTGTGAGCTAGCTCACACTAACTCAGCTTAGAGGGAACACTGGTTGCAGGACATTTTATTTATTTGTTTGTTTGTTGGGATTTTTACCCCACCCTCCCCGCGAAGCGGGCTCAGGGCGGCTTACAAGGGGCAAAGCCCATATAAAACAGGATAAAAGCAATAAAAACATTAATAACAATCAATCACAACAGCAATAATACTCAACTGAAAGCAGGATGGCCCCCGGATGTATGCCATGATGGTAAACAGACAGTTCTCTGGGGATGATGTTGTCCTATAGCTGATCCCAAGCAAGTAAGTCCGCTGGTATCAGTCGCGCGAAATTGTGGCAGATCTTCCCGGGCCATCCTTAACCCCGATGTTGTCCACATCGTTGGTGGTGGTGGTATTTCTCCCCACCACCTCATCACAGTTTTAAGCCATTTTCTATAAGGCACAGTGGTCCTTCCTTCGGGCCTTTTAAATTTTAAATTTTATGACTGATCTATTTTGGATAAATTGACTTTGTTGATAAAAGGCACAACAGATTCGACATTCCAGAATACTTGGTCACGGTTCTATAACTGGTATGATAAACAGATGTAGGCAAGCTGGCAAGAGACAGACTAAGAGTTTACTAAATGAAATATATACCTGTTAGGATGACAGAGACAGAAAAGTTGCTTACACAGTTCATGAGAAATTGTTATTAGGGTGGAATAGGCACCAGTATAAATATTGGTAAAATTGAAAATAACCTCCATGTATCTGTTTGCGGTGGCTCAAGTGGTTAAGACGCTGAACTGCAGGCTGTGGAAGGTCAGTAGTTCAGCAGTTCGAGACCCGAGTGTGCCGCATGACGGAGTGAGCTCCCGTCTCTAGTTCCAGCTCCTGCCAACCTAGCCGTTCGAAAGCAAGAAATTGCAAGTAGATAAATAGGTACCACTTCGGTGGGAAGGTAACAGCATTCCATGCGCCTTGGTGTTTAGTCATGCCGGCCACATGACCACGGAAACGTCTTCAGACAGCGCTGGCTCTTCGGCTTTGAAACGGAGATGAGCACCGCAACCCTAGAGTCAGATTCAACTGGCTTTCGAGCAAGGGAAACCTTTACCTTTACCTTTATCTGTTTGTATGTTAGTATGTATGTATATGTATGTATATGTTATTATTGTTTGTGTATGTTATGTGGAAAATGTAATAAAACCCTGCCCCTTTGGGGGCCATTTAAAATAAATATTTTGCAACATTATTATTAACTTCATCATTACTGCAAATTCTGAATTGCGTATTTCCTAGTATAAGGCAGCTTTGTGTGTGTGACCTTTCCCTGTTCCAAAGATAGGGCAACGTGAATTCTTTGCATAAAGAGCACATGTTACCAATTCTGTGTTTCTTTGCCACAACCTCTCAGTATTTTTTCTTTTAACCATGGAGAATTCACAGTCCTCTTCATAACACACACACACACACACACACGCCGCCAGCCACTGAGAAAGGGAAGGAGTCCGTCCAGAGCAGACGTGGGTCAAATGCAGCTTCCCCCATTGCGGAAAAGCCCTTTGGTCTTCTGTCTCACCGAGCCCTCTCTTTCCTTTGGGGCAAAGAGGAATGGCTTCCCTTGGCCGCTGGGCCCCATCCATTTACATTCAAATCCCAGCCATCACTTAGCAGAATGAAACCGGCCCTCCCAAGAGGTAAATTTTTCCTTTGGCAGATGGCAGATCATCCGCCCCGTTAATAAAACCCCATTAAAAATAGTAGATTGCCTTCCTCTGAAGCCGCACGTAAAGAGGGATGTGACTTGGGCAGAATGACGGGCGAGATCCCGCCGGATTGCCAGCATTTGTGATGGGAGCAATGGCCCCCCCATCTTCCAAAACTGGCAAGGAGGCAGCGTGTAAATGAAGGTGCTTTTTTTTTTGCTTAGAGAAGCCTGCTGCTGCTCTAGGGGTGCCTTCTTGAGAGCCAGTTTGGTGTAGTGGTTAAGTGCGTGGACTCTAATCTGGGAGGGACCGGGTTTGATTCCCCACTCCTCCACTTGCACCTGGCCGGATGACCTGGGGCAAGCCGTAGTTCTGACAAGAGCTGTCCTTGAAAAAGAGCAGTTTCTGTCAAGAGCTCTCTCAGCCCCACCCACCTCCCAGGGTGTCTGTCTGTTGTGGGGAGGGGAAGGGAAAGGAGTTTGTACGCCACTCTAAGACTCCTTTGGGTAGTGAAGGGCAGGGTATGAATCCAGTTCAGTGTAGTGGTTAAGTGCCCAGTCTCTAATCTGGGAGAACCGGGTTTGATTCCCCACTCCTCCTCCACTTGCACCAGGTGGATGACCTTGGGCAAGCCATAGTTCTGTCCTTGAAAAAGAGCCGTTTCTGCCAGAGCTCTCTCAGCCCCGCCTACCTCACAGGGTGTCTGTTGTGGGGTGGGGGAGGGGAAGGAGTTTGTCAGCCACTCTGGGACTCCTTTGGGTAGCGAAGGGCGGGGTATAAATCCAACCTCTTCTTCCTCTTTCTCTCCCTGGTGTCTGCAGAAATGCAAACTTGTGGAAGGCTTCTACGAGCAGTATCCCAACGGCCTCAACCTCACGTTTGGCATCGTGCGGGAAGTGTACAGGGGGGACTACACTTGCATTGTGGCCTACAAAGAAAATGGCCAGGACTTCACGCTGACTCGAACGCTGAGGATCAAGGTGGTAGGTAAGGAGGAGACGGGGAGCCGTGTATCTCTGTGTGTGTGTGTGTGTGTGGGCAAAGTGGGGGCTGTGGGGGCAGGGTCTCTTGGCCAGTGTTCCCTCTAAGCTGAGTTAGTGTGAGCTAGCTCACAGTTTTTTAGACTCCGGCTCACACATTTCTGTCTCAGCTCAGGAAGGAGGGCTCCAGAGCAAACTCATGTATGCAGTAGCCAAATCGCTCACTCACAACTTTCATGCCAGTTGCTCACAGAGTAGAATTTTTGCTCACAAGACTCCACAGTTTAGAGGGAACATTGCTCTTGGCATGTGATCACTTTAGGGGAGGGGCTGTGCCTTAGTGGCAGGACATCTGTTTGGCATGCAGAAGAACTCATCAAGCTGCCCTCTGTTGAAGCAGACTCTTGCTCCATCGAGGTCAGTCTTGTCTACTCAGACTGGCAGTGGCCCACCAAGATCTTAGGCAGAGGTCTTTCCCATCCCCTCCTGCCTGGTGCTTCTACCTGAAGATGCCAGGGATTGAACCTGTGACCTTCTGCATGCCAGGCAGAGGCTCTTCCACTGAGTCGTGGCTCATCCCCAGGTTCAGTCCCCAACATCTCCGGTTTAAAAGGACTAGGCAGGAGGTGATGGGAAAGACCTCGGCCTGAGACCCTGGAGAGCTGTAAAGAGGGGCTGTGGCTCAGTGGCAGAGCCTCTGCTTGGCATGCAGGAGGTCCCAGGTTCAATCCCTGGCATCTGCAGTTAAAAGGACCAGGCAGCAGGTGGTGTGAAAGACCTCCACCTGAGACCCTGGAGAGCTGTAAAGAGGGGCTGTGGCTCAGTGGCAGAGCCTCTGCTTGGCATGCAGGAGGTCCCAGGTTCAATCCCTGGCATCTGCAGTTAAAAGGACCAGGCAGCAGGTGGTGTGAAAGACCTCCACCTGAGACCCTGGAGAGCTGTAAAGAGGGGCTGTGGCTCAGTGGCAGAGCCTCTGCTTGGCATGCAGGAGGTCCCAGGTTCAATCCCTGGCATCTGCAGTTAAAAGGACCAGGCAGCAGGTGGTGTGAAAGACCTCCACCTGAGACCCTGGAGAGCTGTAAAGAGGGGCTGTGGCTCAGTGGCAGAGCCTCTGCTTGGCATGCAGGAGGTCCCAGGTTCAATCCCTGGCATCTGCAGTTAAAAGGACCAGGCAGCAGGTGGTGTGAAAGACCTCCACCTGAGACCCTGGAGAGCTGTAAAGAGGGGCTGTGGCTCAGTGGCAGAGCCTCTGCTTGGCATGCAGGAGGTCCCAGGTTCAATCCCTGGCATCTGCAGTTAAAAGGACCAGGCAGCAGGTGGTGTGAAAGACCTCCACCTGAGACCCTGGAGAGCTGTAAAGAGGGGCTGTGGCTCAGTGGCAGAGCCTCTGCTTGGCATGCAGGAGGTCCCAGGTTCAATCCCTGGCATCTGCAGTTAAAAGGACCAGGCAGCAGGTGGTGTGAAAGACCTCCACCTGAGACCCTGGAGAGCTGCTGCCAGTCTGAGTAGACAATATTGACCTGGGCAGACCAAGGGTTTGATTCAGTGTAAGGCAGCTTCATGTGTATCTATATGAACTAGGGTTGGGAAACTGCTCATATAATGGATGCCAGCCTCCAGGTGGGACCTGGAAATCCTTCAGAATTCCAGCTCAATCGCCAGACCAGTGTTCCCTCTAACCTGAGTGAGTGTGAGCTAGCTCACAGTTTTTTAGCCTCCGGCTCTCACATTTTTGTCTTCACTCAGGGAGGATGGCTCCAGAGCAAACTGATTTATGCAGCAGCCAAATCGCCCGCTCACAACTTCAATGCCAGTAGGTTACAAAGTAAAATTTTTGCTCACAAGATTCCACAGCTTATAGGGAGCATTCGTTGGGAGGGGCTGTGGCTCAGTGGCAGAGCCTCTGATTGGCATGCAGAAGGTCCCAGGTTCAATTCCCAACATCTCCAGTTAAAAAGGACTAGGCAGCAGGTGATGTGAAAGACCTCTTCTGCCTGAGACCCTGCAGAGCCGCTGCCAGTCTGAGTAGGCAATGCTGACCTTGATGACTCAGTAGAAGGCAGCTTTGTGCATTCATGTGGTCTGTTTGCATGAACTGGAGGCATGAAGCTCTTAGCTGGCTGTGGAGTTCTCTTTTTTTGGCGGGGGCACAATGGTGGCTGGAAGTTTGAGCAGGAAAACCAAAATAAGTCTAGTCAAGTCAGCCTTTATTGGCATATATCAGTAGAACAAAGTCATTATAAAAGTATGCAAGTAGGACACTGTACAAATACATTGGATAAAATAATAGGCTACCACTGTACTTTTTCGTGGCATAGCAGCATGGCGGACTGAAGGAACTTGGCCACTTTCTGAGTTACTTCAACAGGGGAATCATTCAAAACTTTGTAAACTTTATGGGAATCTGAAAAACCCATCATGTTGGCCAATATAGAGTTTAGATATTTAGAGCGTATGTTTACATCTAAGTGTCACTGCAACAAAACATGTAGGACTATCCCGAGGGCGGGCCGTCCCCAGGGTGGCCACCACCGCTAGGGACCTCCCCGCTGGAGACACCCCAAGCCCCTACCCCCGAGTTCTGTCCTTGAAAAAGAGCAGTTTCTGCCAAAGCTCTCTCAGCCCCACCGACCTCACAGGGTGTCTGTTGTGGGGTGGGGAAGGGAAAGGAGTTTGTAAGCCGCTCTGAGACTCCCTTGGGTAGTGAAGGGCGGGGAGAGCCAGTTTGGTGTCTTGGTTAAGTGCGCGGACTCTAATCTGGGAGAACCGGGTTGAATTCCCCACTCCTCCACTTGCACCTGGCTGGATGACCTTGGGCAAGCCGTAGTTCTGATAAGAGCTGTTTTTGAAAAAGAGCAGTTTCTGTCAAGAGCTTTCTCAGCCCCACTGACGTCACAGGGTGTCTGTTGTGGGGAGGGGAAGGGAAAGGAGTTTGTGAGCCGCTCTGAGACTCCTTCAGGTAGTGAAGGGCGGGGTATAAATCCAATCTCCTCCTCCACCTCTCCTTCTTTGGTGTAGTGGTTAAGTGCACGGTTAAGAGTTTGGTGTCTTGGTTAAGTGCACGTACTCTAATCTGGGAGAACCGGGTTTGATTCCCCACTCCTCCACTTGCACCTGGCTGGGTGACCTCGGGCAAGCCATAGTTCTGATAAGAGCTGTTCTTGAAAAAAGAGCAGTTTCTGTCAAGAGCTCTCTCAGCCCCACCTCCCTCACAGGGTGTCTGTCGTGGGGAGGGGAAGGGAGAGGAGTTTGTGAGCCACTCTGAGACTCCCTTGGGTAGTGAAGGGCGGGGTATAAATCCAATCTCTTCTTCTTCTTCCTCGAGGGAGGCAGGGCACGGTGGTGAGTTGTTTACCCAGCTCGGGATCCAGTGTCAGTGGGGGGGGGGGTGTCCGTCAGACTCGTGTGACAAAGACCGTCTCGACACATCTAGAATCACAAGGGCAATGTCTAGCCGCATCTTCTGTCTTACTGAATCGGCCATAAAGAATGGCAGATGGCATGGCATTGCATCTGGCTAAAGAGAAAGCTCTGCGTAGTTGTGGCGCTCGTAGGGGGGATAAATATGAAGCCATCCTACAGACAGTGAGGGGTATCTCGAAGCTCAGAGGAGAGCAGGTTTGGTTGGGGAGTCTATGTAACTCCTGACGCTCAACATCCAACATCCTCTGTTTGATCAACTGGAATGCGCCCGCTAATGGGAGCATAGTTAATGAATCCAAAAATATACCCATGGCCAGGGGTCATTTCCTGCAGGGGGACGCAGGAGCAGAGCTCCGGCAGTAAAGAGCCTAGGGTGCGGGCACATGCAAAAAGCACCACCCCCTGCTCCCAGCAGCCCCAGGCCGCGAGAAGCAAGAAGCCTTCCTTCCTTCCTTCCTTCCTTCCTTCCTTCCTTCCTTCCTTCCTTCCTTCCTTCCTTCCT